CCCTTTGCAAAACTTCAATTCCAAGAAAATATCTCATCTTACCAAGATCAGTCATGTCAAATTCAACCATCATGGATTTCTTAAAGTGTTCAAACATAGTCTCATCATTACCAGTGAATATAAGATCATCAACATAAAGGCACACAATCAAAAGTTTACCTCCATCTGCCGTTTTTATGAACAAAGTGTGCTCATAAGGGCACTTCTCAAAGCCTTCTTGATCAAAATAGGTCTCTATTCAACTGTACCAAGCTCGGGGAGCTTGTTTAAGTCCGTACAAAGCCTTCTTCAGTCGATATACCTTATATTCATCTCCCTTTTGTTCATAACCTGGTGGTTGATCCACGAACACTTCTTCATCTATCTTTCCATGGAGAAACGCAGATTTGACGTCTAGCTGGTAGATAATCCAGCTTTTCTGGGCAGCAAGTGAGATGACCATTCGAATAGTATCCAAACGAGCTACTAGTGCAAACACCTCGGCATAATCCACTCCATACCGTTGGCTGTACCCTTTCGCGACGAGCCGAGCCTTGTATTTGTCCGCTTCCCCATGTTCATTGAGTTTTGTTTTAAAAACCCATTTTACTCCAATTGTCTTCACTCCAGATGGCAACTCGGTGAGTTCCCATGTATCATTCTTCACAATAGCTTCGATTTCAGCGTCCATGGCATGTCTCCATTTGCTACTCTTCACTGCATCCTCGTATGTCAAAGGGTCACGGTCAGAGAATAAGGCTAGATGAGCCATATCGACATTTTCTTCATCAGAGAGGCCCTGCCCACTTTCATAATCTTGCATCCACCCTGGTGGTCTTCGAACTCGTTCTCCATGAAGAGGACTGTCATCACTTGAAGACTCTCCCCCTTCGAGACTTTGAACAGACCCTATGTTTTCAAGTTCATTTTCAGGAGTGATGTTTGCTGTAGTTTCCTCCCCAAAGCTTGCATTGGTACCTGTATTTTCATTTTCCTCCCATTCCAAATCAGCCAAAATTGTTTCCTTGTGACTGTCATCCCAGTTCCACATTTGGTCTTCTTCAAAGACCACATCTCGACTCATAATTATTTTTTGAGAAATAGGATCAAATAATCTGTAAGCCTTGGATTCTTCACTTACCCCAAGTAATATGCATTTCAGACTTTTGGCATCACGCTTTACTCTCTTGCTATCAGGTACATGAACATGGGAGATGCATCCAAAAACCCTAAAGTGATTGACTGAAGGCTTGAACCCACTCCAGGCTTCTTCTGGTGTCTTGCTTCTCACAGCAAGTGTCGGGCTTCTGTTTAAGACATGCACTGTCCAATTCACTGCTTCAGGCCAAAAATTCTTTGGGATTTGTTTCTCTGACAGCATGTTGCGCACCATATTCATGATAGTGCGATTCTTTCTCTCTGCGACCCCGTTCTGTTGAGGTGTGTATGCAGCTGTTAATTGCCTTTGAATGCCATTCTCATCACAGAAGTGGGTGAACTCTTGTGATGTGAACTCTCCCCTACGATCAGTTCGAAGTCTCTTTATGAATGCACCGGTTTCTTTCTCAACTTTAGTTTTGTAGGATTTAAAGGTAGCAAACGCTTCTGATTTTTCAACCAAAAAATAAGCCCAAGTTTTTCTGCTAAAATCATCAATAAAGGTAATGAAATACCTTTTTTTGCTATTCGAGATTGGATTTATTGGCCCACATATGTCTGCATGCACTAACTGAAGAACTCCAGATGCCCTCCATGTGCTTTCCCTTGGAAAAGGATCGCGATGTTGTTTTCATATCAAGCAGTCTTCGCAGATCTTTAACGGAGCTTTTAACTGAGGCAATCCATCCACCATATTCTTTTGTTGGATCACCTTGAGACCATTCCAACTGAGATGACCATAACGGCAATGCCAGAGTTGAGTTTGATCTGTGGTCATAGAGGAGAAACAGTTTTCCTCCTTTGGTGGACAGCGACCAAGCACAGCGAACATTCTGTTGCATGCCATCTCGGTTTCCATGATTAAACCTTTTTCAGGATGATAAATCTTGCACTTTCTGTGTTGCATGAGCACTGTAACACCCTTCTCTTGCAATTGACCAATGCTTAGTAAATTGTTAGTCAACGCTGGCACAAAGAAAACTTCAGTAATCACCTGCATGATCCCATTTATCTCCATTCGAATGTTGCCCTTCCCTTGCACAGTGAGACTCATATCATTGCCCAGCTTCACTTTTTCTCTGAAATTATTATCAAATTGTGAAAATAACTCTCTTTTCCCACACATGTGATTACTACACCCAGAATCAAGAAACCACAAGTGATCTCTTCCAGCCTGGATGCCATCCACATACGCCATTAAAAGCATCTCTTCACCGGTCTCGGCAAAGTTCACCTTTGTATCTCTTGCTCTTTTGGGACATTCCCATTGAAAATGACCCAACTCATGACAGTTATAACACTCTAGGGTAGATTTATCAAACCTACCCCTACCTCTTCCTCTTCCTCGGAAAGAACCACCACCTCTTCCTCCTGGTTGTCCGTGAGTGATCTGAAGGGCTTGTTCATCCACAGTGTGACGGCTGATACGTTGTTCATGCACCAAAAGACTGCTTTGAAGCTCATCTATGGATAAAATATCCAAATCATTTGATTCCTCGATCGAGCATACAACATAGTCATACTTAGGAGTCATGGATCTCAAGATCTTCTCGATGATCACCACATCCTCCATCCTTTCACCGTGAATTCTCATCTTATTGGCTATGATGAGAGTTCTTCCAAAGTAGTCATTCACCGATTCCCCAGCTTTCATGTGCAGCACTTCAAACTCCTTGCGAAGAGCTTGGAGTTGTGCACGTTTAACTCGTGTTGTCCCTTGGTACTTCTGGTTCAAAGAATCCCAGATATCCTTTGCTGTGTCTTTTTTTAATATCATCTCCAAAATGGATCGATCAATGGCTTGGAACAGATAGTTCTTAGTCTTCAGGTCCTTCAACTTTTGATCCTCAATCACCTTCTTCTTTCCATCAGTAAGATCTGTCCCTTCCGCTGCTGCAAAGATCCCAATTTCTACCAAACTCCAATACTCCTTTGAACGCAGAAAATTCTCCATAAGCATGCTCCAGTGATCGTAGTGTCCATCGAACCGTGGGATAGCAGGCTGCACAAAGTTGCTCTCGCTTGTCATGTTATTTCTTCACGTTGATGTCTGTGGTACAAGCTGTTGGTCAGGCCCCGTGATGGAGCTCTGATACCAGATGTTAGAACCAAGTGCAACGACAAAGAACTTTACAGAAACAAAACACGATAACTCACAAATGCAGGGAGAACTTCTTTTAATTAATAAAGGAACCAACACAGCTATATATAATAGCCTTACATCAAACAGGAAGGGAAATAACAACCCACGACTTTACAGTCCTAGAGTCGTGGTACATGACTAAGTCTAAACAGAAAATAACTTGTCCCTTAAGAGTAGGGATTATTATGCATGACTTCAAACCACTACAATCCTAGAAGCAAGGAAACCCAAACTCTATCAGCTAGAGAATCCTAACAATTTAACAAAATCATGACCAGAATGAGGAGGACGCTCACAATCCCTCCATCCATGAACCGTGGCATGTCGTAATGGCCGGATAAGACGAGGCTCTGATCAAGTCATTAATAGTTTGTAAGTACAAGAAAGGAGATGATTTTCAAGTGGAAGATTCTTTCCCACTAGGCCTTCAAGGGCTCGGAATACACTACTTCCAGTCCAGAAAACTCTTATTTTTTATTTTTCTTTTGGGGAACATGGATTAAGCTAATCAAAGATTTTGGTCATGATCCATTAATGAGTGAGTCTTCTCTACCAATCGGGAATTTAGTATACAACACATGAAGGTTCTTGTCAAAAGGACATTGTATACACCCGTTCCATTCAATAATTTCTCGGATTAAGACGGATTTGCATGTCCAAAATTCTACGTACTCATTTGAACAGAATGGTGTCAAATTTAGAGATTTAAGTTATTGAATTGGGTGTAAGTTGCGTTTGAATTTGTACCGATCTATTAAGTTTTATATGGAGGATGTTTTGAAATTTTTGGATGGTTCGCGTCTGATAATTTTCAGGTTTCGATTTGGGGTTAAAAATTTTGTTTTGGATGATTTGGGTCAGATAATCTTTGTTCATGTGCACAATTAGGTGCGTTTACAACAACTGAAATTAATAAGTTTCCCTATTTATTAGCATCTTGTTTTCAGTGGTTTTTTAAATTTCCCCTGTTGCGGTAGAATGAATATAACGGTGAGAAGAATTATGAACTATGGAAATTCACAATCTGGTAGTTTTGATGGATTACCAACTTATTTTATTGATGATTTGTTGATAGTGAAACTTTGTGTTAATTAATAAGTGTTGTTATGCAGGGTTTTTTTGTTAAGGCTTTTGAATGAATGCAGCTGCTGTTTTGTATTTTTATCTTTATGTGCATTTTTATCATGGGTTACCATAAGTATAATTTGGATTTCTTGCTTTCTGTTTCTTTGGTTCTATAATGGTTTGCAAAATGTTTTATTTCCTTGGTTGGTTGATGGTTGTAATTTGTATTAATCTGCGATTGATTTAGCTATAAACACATAGATTAGAATTTAGAATGGACTTGTGGATTATTATACTTAATTTGAGCTTCTGAAGAAAAAAAAAATTATTTCGACATGTTTTAACAGATTTAAGAGCTGCTGTGATGTTTATTTTTTTGGGAAGAAAAAAAAACATTTATTTGGGCTAGTTTTAACATTTGATGCTTAATTTTTTGGGAAAGAAATGATTTGGGCTTAACCAAAAAACTAATATTGGGCTAAAGCCCAAAACCGACTAAAGTGCCAGAACCGAACCGGACCAATTTGGGTTGGCCCATTTTTTGGTTTCAACATTGCAGACTCTATCTGAGAACCGTGAGTTTGATTGGTTCGGTCCACGGGTCCATCAAAAAACAACCCAACTTGAGCTGTGAGCATGACTAAATTATTCCACTTGAACGAAAATATTGGGACCTAAATTATCGTGGAAATTTTTGATATATTGATGATAAATGGATGAAAATGTGCTAAAATATTGCTGCCCCTAAAAAAAGGATAATTTCACCGATTCGTTCTATGACCATGGCCAAAGGCTTCTGAGCCTCTTCTCAAAATCGAAAAATCCTACCCGCTCGCAGTTGTCAGCATGAATTGTATTCTTATAAAATAAATTGATGTCCGGCTTTCTTTTTCTTTTTTTGGTAACTATGCCCTGCTTTCTTCTGTCTCGATCATTTTGGTCCCCTCCCCCGTTTGAAGGAACTGGGGGTGTCTTGGTTAGCATATATTCATGAATCTGTGAAATTAATATCATCCTTTAGCAAAGCTTTCATCATGAAATGTTAGTGGATGTTGGTTGCAAAGAAACCTTGTGTAAGTATTGTACCTGATCAATTAACTTCTGACGTTCAGCAGTGCCATATCTTGGGGCTGCTTCACGAGATTTGATGGCCAGGGCACGCCTTTCTTTCTTGTCGTATTCTACTGAACCCAACTTACCATCTGGGTAGGCGGGCAATAACTCAATAAGTGCAAGTAAAGCATCTCGCACTGCCAACAGCAACAGCACATTAGCAAAAGCTTTTTGGTTTACTGATAGATTGTGCTTTGGTGGATTATGTGTGTCTTCTTCTTTAGCAGTTGAGAGAGTGTTTTAATAATGTCTCACAAAGAATGAAATGTACCTCTATTGTGTGGCCCCCAAAAATCGCCGAAATTATAATCGATCCTGGTTTGGGTTTTGAAGCGACCATTTTCCTGCAAGTAAAGTATACACATCATGACTGATAATTTAAAAAAGAAAAAGAGCCAAGTAGCAAAAGAGTCCATAAACCTCAAAAAGCAATAACATATGATATTACCGTCAACAACGACAATACAGGAGGCTTCTCTGGGTATTCCTCCGGAATCTTGATCTGGCCATGATAAATCCCACCCGCGAATTCAGTTCCATTAGGGCCTCTGATTGCAAATTGCCAGTCCCGTGGGTTCGACTGAAAACAAATATCAATCACGTGTCAAATTACCATTTTGGCCAAACAACAAGCCCAAGTCACACAAAAAATGAAGCGACAAATTATGCCCTTGTCTTTTTAGTTCTTCCAAAAAAGAAAAGGCTTTTTATTTTTTCGAAAATGACCAAAAAATTATCTTAAAACAAAATCGAATGCTAAAAACAATAATTGAGGTCGAACCCAATACCCAAAATTCAAATAGAAATCAGAATCACGAATCCAACTTCTTAACTTATCCTTCAAAGTGAAATTAAAACCAGAACTCAAAGAACAAGAATATTTATAAATAAATAAAAACGAAAGGGGTATTGGAAAAGTGAACGTAACCTCGAGCGCGAGGCACTTGAAATCTCGGGAGGGATTGGATTGCATCTCCATCAACTCCATTTGAATGTAATTCGACGTCATCTCTCTCCGAAACGATTCCATTTGATTTTGTTCGATCTGCTCCGATCCGACCCGATCCACAACTTCTTCCGGTAACAAAACTTTAAAACACGAAGCGGAGAAGCGGCGGTGCTTATGAATGTGTAAGAGAGAGAGAAAGCATTTGTTGATTTTTGTTTGTTCTTCCACGTCATCTCTTTTTACTGCAGCGACTAAAACCCCAAAGTCTTACCTGCACACGGTTTTAAAGAATAAAATAAAGCACCACCACACGGTTTTGAAGAATCTTTGCCGAAAGAGTAAACTGGGTTGTTTTGCTTTTCGACCAAAAAAAAACTGGGTTGTTTTGTTGAGTTGCTAATTTGCTTGTCTCTCTCTTTCTATGAATGAATGATTGGGATTTCGAGGCAAAATACAAATATAAAATGAATAAAAGAAGAAAAAAAACAATGAAGAAATGGAATTTCGACATAAGAGGACGTGACGAGTCTTAAAGGAAGCTGAAAATCAATTCTAACAAATCACAACTTTAACAAAAACGTATCCTGTTTTCAATACCATCTATTCAGCTTCTATCCATTGGCAGACCATCAGGCTTCACGCCCGGATCGGATTTTGTACATTTTGATGATTCTGTTATATGCATATATTTATCCATGAGCTGCTCAGAGTTCACTCAGTTATATTTATATGCATGTATTAGGGTTTTATCGAAATTCTAATATATTATATTTTTTAGTATTTATATTAATATGTCTTTTTATGCAAATGATATATGAGGAGAAAGTGGAGTTCGTAAAAGAAAAGACCTCATTTAATTTTGGGAGGTTCACTATAATACCTAATATAGGAGTCCAAATTATAAAAAAACTCTATATGAAATGGACTTTAGAAATACACCCAAAGCTCATTTACAATATAACAAAAAGGCTTTTAACTTCTTTTAAATTACAAAATTGTCATTGATTTCTTAAAATAAACCCAACACAAAAACCTCATAAAAAAGCCAAAACACTCAATGAGGCATCAAAGTAATTTAATAATTAAAATTAAATTCAATATGGCTAACTGTCATTTTTTGGATATATTTATATAAATTAAATAGTGTATGATTTATTTATAGTTTTAGTGCTAAGAATGGGTATTTGACTAAATTTCTTTTTTATTTTTGATCTCGAGCCATTCAAAAATGAGGGTCTAATTGTCACATTGAATTTAACATATCGAGAAGCTCTTAATTTACTGCCCAACTGTACTTTTTCTTCTTTATTCCTTTTCGAGTGTGAACAAAACTTATTCATTATAGAAAATTTTGGCAAAGTTGTATTAAAGATAATAAAACCGCGTGGAAAATTAGACACACAAAACACCCACATCCTAATTAATGAAATCCAATATGAATATCAAATTCATTAAGTCAGAAAAAGCAAACGTTATCATGACATTATTTACAATAAATATTATTAAGTATGCGGGAATCGAGTTAGCCGAAACAAAAGGGAGCTTTTGATATTGGCATCAATCATGTGTACTTGCCAACATTTTCTTCACAGGAAGAAGGAAGGAAAGTTCTTCCAAGAACAACAGCTTTCTTCTAGCTTCTCAATTTCTGTCTTCTCCCACGTCTCCATACATCATCTCTCCTCTCAAAGGAAAGAGCATATTGCCTTCTAAATTATTTGATGCATTAGATTATTCACCCTATCAATGATGTGATTTAAATAAAATTGTTTATTGAAACTCAATCGTGCTTCCCGCAAAGTAAAATTACCACCGCAATTTATGGATGCGTTTGACTTCCCACTCAAATATGAGTCCTGTTGCAATGAAGAGATCATTTTCAAGTGGAAGATTCTTTCCCGCTAGGCCTTCAAGAGCGCGGAATACAGTACTTCCAGTCTAGAAAACTTTTTGTATTTTGGTTTCTTTTGGGGAATGTGGATTAAGCTGGCAAATCAAACAGTTTGGTCCGGACTAATTAGCTATTACAATTATTCGTTCATGATCCATTAATGAGTGATTTGTAATTCTCTACCAATCGAAAATTATAGTATACAGCTAGTGTATAAAACATCCTTTTTAGGTACTAAAACCAACGTATGAAGGTCGTTCTTGTCAAAAGGGCATTGTATACACATGTTGTATTCTAAAATCTCTCCCTTTAATATATTGTTTCTTTGGAGTCAGTTTTAATTATTTTTGTTACCCATGGGATTGTACTCGATAAATTTTGGATTTGCATGTTCAAATTTTATAAATAGTCATTTTGACAGAGTTATTTCAAATTTAGAATTTTTTTTTTTTTTTGAAATGTCAAATTTAGAGAAGTTAAATTGTTTATTTAAACTATCAAGATTCAGAGGCCTTAATCTGTACCAAGATTTGAATTTAAAAAAAAAGAAAAAAAATTCAAATGAATGATTTCTTTTTTTTTTTGCATTTCATTTATTTATTTCATTTTTGGCCAGCATAATTACTTAGGCTTTTTTATATATATATTTTATTTTATTTAGTACAAGCATTTGGGGGATGGGGATTTACACAAATATTCATTAGGAGTCTTGGAATTTCGAACCTATGCAAATGGGTGGAGGTCGAAGAGCTCAACTAACTGAGCTATACCCCACTAACCTTAATCTTAAATCTTAACAAATGCTCCTTTGCCAACAAATGAAAAAAATAAAAAAAAAGATTTCAAATGAATCATTTTTTATTTATTTAAACTTATTTATTTCATTTTTGGCCAACATAATTGCTTAGCCTTAAATCCTAACAAATGTTCCTTTGCCAACAAAAAAAGGCTAAACTCCCCAACTTCTATTTTCATATATTAAATCCAGAAGTACAGTTTGATCAAAATAGAATAGCCACGGATCCACGGCTCACTACTACCAACATCAATATTGTCTTCAACTTAACCATCTACGTAATTCGGCAGGTGTGTGGTTTTATACAAAGATTCTGGATATTATTAATAGTGGAACCATTCATTGTATGTTGTGTTTTATTTTGTCAAATTTTTGATGTGAGACTCATATTCTTCAACACACTCCCCCATACGTGCAACAAATTCCACATCGTAGGCCTTCTCTCACTAATTATTTGAGGTGCTTTTTCTGAGATAAAGGCATCATTTAATAGAACTGCAATACACTGAGATAAAGGCATCATTTGAGAAGAGTTTGTCATTTGTGAACATGACTGCAGGAAAGAAGAATTCAAGGAGTTGATTGGTTTTGTATCTATTTTTGCGTTGGATAATATTATGGTTGAGCTGAAACAGTTATATTATATTGGGGTTGATCCAATATCATGTGGATGTATAATAAAACACACACAGAGATTGCCATGTGCACACGAGATGCAAGAGTTCAAACGGACATGTCGAACGTCCATAAAATCATCTTAAAACAAATTCAAATGTTAAAAACAACAATTGAGGTCGAATCCAATACCCAAAACTCAAATAGAATTCAGAATCACCAATCCAAATAGGCCTATAAATAAAGCTCAGGCCCGTAAAATTCAAATAGATTTTATTTCAAAAGCAATAACCAGCAAAGCACGTTCACCTTAAATAATTCATTAAATTAACCCATCTGAAAACACCACTACCCTAAATAATTCATGTAACCAAATGAAGTTAAACAAGAGAAACATGAAAGAAACCCAAATATTCTACTAATAATACAAGCCATAGTTTAAATGACTCTAATCTACTAATAACACAAGTGATAGTTTAAATTACTCTAATCTACTAGAATGAGGATGGCAAAATGTTCACCTTTAATAATTATTTTCTTCTTGTTGGCTTGTCAATATTCTTGATGCAGATGCTTCTGTTTCTTTGTGAATTTGAATAAAATTCCTCTCTCTTGGCAAAACCCTGGCTCTGAAGGATGGAAAAATGACGTCATTCATGAAGGGATTTTATTCTTTTCTTTTTAGATACAAGCAATATTCTACTATCTCTCAAGCATGTAAAAGAGAAGCGGATTTGTCACTATCTCCTCTCACATGTTGACAACGAAATTTATAATCACAAAATAATTATTAAAAGTAGAGAAGGAGTGTGTACCACCACAACAGGCTTTTGAGCCTCTTCCCAAAATCGAAAAATCCTACCCGCTCGCAGTCGCGAGCTTTAATTGTATTCCCAAAAATTAAATTGATCTCCTGCATTCTTTTTCTTTTTCTGTCTCGATCATTTTGGGAACTCACCCGGATATCCCCTCCCCCATTTGAAGGAACAGGGGGTGTCTTGCTTAGCATATATTCATGAATCTGTGAAATTAATATCATCCTTTAGCAAAGCTTTCATCATGAAATGTTAGTGGATGTTGGTTGCAAAGAAACCTTGTGTAAGTATTGTACCTGATCAATTAAATTCTGACGTTCAGCAGTGCCATATCTTGGGGCTGCTTCACGAGATTTGATGGCCAGGGCACGCCTTTCTTTCTTGTCGTATTTTACTGAACCCAACTTACCATCTGGGTAAGGTGGGCAATAACTCAATAAGTGTAAGTAAAGCATCTCGCACTGCCAACAGCAACAGTACATTAACACGATGGCACATTATATAAAAAACAAACTTATAATAGTGAGGCTAAAACCATATATCATCCATTAGCAAAAGCATTTTGGTTTACTGAGAGTAGAAGAATAGCTTCTGCTTTGGTGGATTATGTGTGTCTTCTTCTTTAGCAGTTGAGTGAGTGTTTCAATACATGTATTCTAACATTATATACTAGCATACATAATGTCTCAGAAAGAATGAGATGTACCTCTTTTGGCTGGGTTCCTAAAAAAATAGCGGTAATCGATATTGGTTTGGGTTTTGAAGCGACCATTTTCCTGCAAGTAAAGTATACACATCATGACTGATAATTTAAAAAAGAAAAAGAGCCAAGTAGCAAAAGAGTCCATAAACCTCAAAAAGCAATAACATATGATATTACCGTCAACAATGTGATTATAGGAGGCTCCTTTGGGTATTCCTCTGGAATCTTGATCTGGCCATGATAAATCCCACCCGCGAATTCAGTTCCATTAGGGCCTCTGATTGCAAATTGCCAGTCCCGTGGGTTCGACTGAAAACAAATATCAATGATGTATCAAATTACCATTTTGGCCAACAACAAGCCCAATTTCAATAGCCAGAAAGCCAAAAAAAAAAATGAAGCGACAAATTATGCCCGTGTCTTTTTTTTTTTTTTTTTTGGTCTGACCCGTGT